ACAACACTAGATCAACCTTATTGAGGTCAACAAACACCATGCATATGGTACGAACAACACTAGATCAACCTTATTGAGGTCAACAAACACCATGCATATGGTACGAACAACACTAGATCAACCTTATTGAGGTCAGCAAACACCATGCATATGGTACGAACAACACTAGATCAACCTTATTGAGGTCAACATACACCATTCAAATGGTACGCACAACACTTGATCAATCTTATTAAGGCTGCTGCATGCCACAATTCCACTGCACATCTAAGCCTTTACATTAAGCAAAATATTACTCATATTTTATCTTTTTCTTCTTAAATATTTTTCCAATAATAATAATTCAAGAAAAGTTACCTGTGGCCGGTTAGTAGATTTATCCACATATGTTCCCCAGTCCAAGCTATTCCGGTCTACCTTGTATTCTATTGTGTATTCAGTCACCCAGCACTGATAGACGGAACTGCCCTGGCTTGCTACATCTGTTAAAACTCTTCTAGCGTCTTCAAATGAAACCTGGTGTATGAGGGGAAAAGCTGGGTCAAAAAATTAGCAGATTGGATGTTACTGATTAATGTCTGCGCATGCGCTAAATCGGGTATTTCGGCGGGGATCATGTGTCATTTCCTCAAGTATCATTTCTTTGTTTAACGGTTGCGCATGATAAGACACATGAATATGGATACAACTGAAATGAAGAATCTCATTCTTAAAGGGGCACTTGGATGAAAACGCCCCAATTTTTCAAAAGTCCGAATGATTGAAGTATTTGTGGATAATTTGACTCAATTATGATTATGTAAACCAGATTAGTGAATATTTTCGCCTGGGAGCCACTTGCAGTAGAGAAATTTTGAGTCAAAAGAGAAAAGAACAATAGGGTTGAGTAAATGACGTCATTTACTCGCAATTTAGATGCTGCATAAAATTGATAATTTTTATCCGACACATTTTACTGTGAAGGAAATATGTTTCTTGGCTACTATTGGTTCCAACAAGTGCCCCTTTAAGAGAATGACACAAATAAACATTATGAGGTCTGTTGTTAAGATCAGGGAAAAGCTTGATATCAATCTCTCGTATGCGGTAGTTCCAAAAGGGGAACAATACCGATAAACTCTTATGTAAATTGGTTGGGTTCCCTGTGGTGATTTTACCTGAATAAACATGTTGGGCGAGGACACCAGCGTCATCCATCCTGTACTAGAACCCAGTCTCCCTTTATACGGCTCGTTATTTGGGTGCGATTTATTTCCGGTGATTTGGCTGTCTTTTATTTCTCCACTGCGCATGCCCAGAGCCTTGGAGTCATTCCTTGCTGTAAATAGTTTAGACAGCACCATTGTTAAGAGATACTAACGGACCAGTCATTATTGAAGTTGGAAGGGGGGGTGGAGGAAAAAATGAAAAAAACGGAAAACATTTTCCATACCCCAATAGCATTCATGTTTTTCGGGTACCCCCTTTAATCGTTTAAAAAATCCTCCCAATCCTCCTTTTGACCTTTCAAGGCCCCCCTTGTTCCACTAAAAAAAATTTGAGGGCCCCCCCTTTTGTTTCCCCCCCCCCCCCCTCCGACTTAAATAATGACTATTCCCTAATTAAAAATAAATAGTAACCGTGTAAGTGTGTGTAAGTGTCTTAAATAATGACTATTCCCTAATTAAAAATAAATAGTAACCGTAATAGGTTTATTAATACACTTTTTAAGTCTCTGATTAACTTACATTTGCAGTGAAGAACTGGCTCCAGCGGTAGAGAGTATGGACGAAGAACATTATCGATATACAAACAAGCATCGTCTTGAACAAAGTTTTCAATAAAATCATTATTTGATGAGTTATTCAACTGACACTCTCTTGTTCTCTTGAAGTAGTTGATGCTAAAGCAGCCTGTTTCTTGCTCACACAGTAGTATACATCTTTCTAATGTTACCGTGTCGTACGTTTTGTAACTTTGTCCTCTAAGGCAAAATCCACTGATTGGTTCGACTGTACGACAAGGATGGTCGGGACTTGTCACTTCAGTTACCCTCAACATTGAAAAGGAAAATGCTATAATGAAGAAGGCCATCATTATGTTGACTGAAAAAATGTCACTTTTTCTTCTTCTTCTTCTTAAAATAATCTTCTCAAAGCCCTTTCTTCCTGACTTTTTCAGTTCGTAGAGTTTCAGTGAAATCACTGCAGAATCCTTTTGCCGGAGTGATCTACAGACAGTATCCTGTTATTGCAGAATTGTTTCCTCAGAGTGTTTTACTTTGATCAACTTTAACACGTCTTAAAAGAACAAAGTATGACACAATGACATGGTTTTCCCTCAGACCAAGCCAGCACTAGACAGCTGTAACCGGATGGCAAACAACAGCAGGGCGAAAAAACCCGAACAGTTTGTCAACTTGACAAAAAATATGTCAAGACAGCTGTTAAATAAAAGTAACTCGGAACAAAAAGCATAAGGTAGGAGGATGCGCCAACTATAATAGTTTTAGTGATGGATGTACAAGTAGTTGAAGACCATATAATAAATAAAGAACTAAACGGTTTATTCTTTTGTGTCATAACATACAGATTAATAAGTGGGTAAAAAGGAAAGAGTCAATGTTTGTATAACGGTCAAGAATCCTCGGACAGTTGAAAAAAATCGAAATTGCTCATACTTTGCTTAAATACTCTTTGTGGTGAGACATTTTTCGAAAATACAACTTTAAGTCCTGGGCGAATTTTATTTTTTGAGAAATCGCTCGAAGTTGATTTTGGGATCCAGAATGGCTTGGGCACCCTGTGTCGAATAGGAAAATGTAAGGTATTCTCGGCAATCGTACGGCTTCGCGTTTTATTTTATACAAACCATTGTTTTTTCTAGCAAAGACACATTCTTTCTCTTGAATTTAGTGTAAAAATATTTTTGCTAATGCTTGTTTTAAATAAACTACGGAATTTTGAATGGACCCTATTTTGACGTTCCCGAAAATTCGTAATTTTTCTTCATTTTCAATATGCCTAAATGGGTTGTGATACATGCACTAGAACTATAGATATATAGCATAAACCTTCTAAAATGATATATCTAAATATTATTGGCGGCCCGCTAAACCTCGTTCACTGACAGCCCCAAATGTGACAACGCGCATTGTATAAGGTCAGCAGCTCATTTTCTCGGAATTTCACTATACAGAAAGCCAGTTAAAAATAATTACTTTGATGCTTTTATTTGCGCAATTTACCATACAAAAACCCAGTTAAAAGTAATGCTGACCTAATTCAATGCGCGTTGCGTAACGCGCGCTTGAGTGAAAACTATCTGCGTTGCCTTTCCTCAGTTTTATTGAACGACTTTACCTTACCGGCGTATGTACTATACAGCTGTTCAGATGAATACCAACCAACGTCAGAGATATACATCTGCGCATGCTCATAGTCTGTATGTAAATGAGTGTCAAATGTTTTTTTTCTATTGTAAAGATATGCAAATTTGACTTTCAAACTTGCCTGACAAATTGACTTCACAAAATGCCAAATTATAATAAAAATCAGTTGTTAAAAGCTAAGCCAATTCCTTTCATAATTCTCTAAAGTTTCGTAATGAAAATTTATATAGGTTTAACAAATGGAAAACGTGCTGAAATGCACCATGTTTGGAAAAATTAATTCTCAATTTTCCGGTTGTTTACATTACTGCGCACATGCACAATGTACAATCAAGAAAAAATTAGCACGCGCGCTCTCTTTCCGTTTCAGTGCTGTTCTTATCTTTTTTTAGAATGGATGAACAAAACAACAAATTAAACGGAAAGAGCGTGCGCCGCCAGTTGACGCACGGGAGTGGGGTAAGGCTATATTTAAACTCCATCTGATTACTAAAAATAGCCAAACAGGGAATTCATATGGCGCGCGTGATATTAAGAAGTTTTGCTCTCTTATTTATGCTCTCTTGCTACAAACTAACACCAAAACTTGTCGTGATTCTTACAGTGAGCCTGCATAGTCGGTATCCGTTTCCTCCATGCTGTTTTCTGTTTGGCTATTGCATACTAAAAACTAACCAATGAGATAACGAAAGAAACTAGCCAATCAAAATTAGAGACTCAGAAGTCGTAATATTTAAAACGAACTCTTGTCAGATATCAACGAAAATAAATCATAACTTGGAAGGAGAAGAAGATTAAACCTCTCCGCTGGGAAATACGTATTGTTGAGCCGTTAGGACATGAGGAAGCTTACACATCTTCAGATGCACAACAAATCGGTAAGGATTATTTTATGGCTAGCTTCTGTGTATATTTGTGAATAAATTTAGTTCGTTAGGTATTTTTCTTATTTCGAGGGCTCTTCTCCGGTTTTTACTTTCTCCGCAAAACCTAACACGATAAATTTCACTAGTTTCGCTCTGTGTGAGTTAGCCGTGCCCTGACTTCAGCCAAGAGCTTAGATCAGCCAAGCGGGTTGTTCAAGGGCTCGATCTGTGAGTTAGCCGTGTCCTGACTTAGACCAGCCCAGGGGTTATTTCAGGGTTTGATCTGTAAGAAAGCCACACCCTGACTTCGATCAGCCCAGAGGTTGTTTCAGCGTTCGATCTGTGAGTAAGCCATACCCTGACTTACATCAGCCCAGAGGTTGTTCCAGGGCTCGATCTGTGAGTTTGCCGTGTCCTAACTTAGACCAGCCCAGAGGTTGTTCCAGGGTTCGATCTGTGAGTAAGAGGTGCGCATAGTTTGAAGGTTTGAGTGGTAATAAGTCAAGAAGTTTGAAAGATGATCTATGAAATGGTAAAATTATTTGCATAGCTTGTTTACTTACAAGTTTTAATAAGAACAGAATGTGATTAACATAACTCATCAAACAGCTATTACTTGACTTCATCACATGTTGTCAAATTTTGATGTTTGTTTTTCTTTCAATTTCTACTTTTCCTGTCCAAAGTTGATGCAAAACTTTTTATTCAATTGCCTCGTCTCTAGAGTTTTTATTTCGCAACATTTCATGCATTACGCATTCATCTTCTTATCTTCATAACGTTACTAGTTTAAGTGTTTCTTCGCTTGAAAATGACTTAGATTTTTAATTTTTACTAAATTAAATAATACTATTTTACCGCTATGTTATATATATATATATAATTATCTGATATATATACCAAAACTCTTCTTATCAAGGTTGATTTTCCCTTGTCAATGCTTATGTCAAATGTCCTTTTTTCACACGAACTGTCCAAGCTTGGTACCAGTGCAAAAGATATCAATTCAAAATATTCGTAATTCGCATGCAGCACTTTATTAGTGCCGTCAAACTTGTTTTCCAGTTTTTTGTCTCAAAATTCCCTCGAAACTTCTAAAGAACTTAGGAAGAATTGAATCGCGTTAAAGTTATTCAGAAATTAAATGAAGTCTTCAAGTTCATTAGAAATTATAGCGCAATTGATTTTTAGGAAGAATTTTTTGAGACTTGAAATAGGAGACTTTCGGAATCATTTAAGCTTTTGCTTTAACAAATATTTTATTTCACAGATGACAATATTTTTTCCAAGCGGATAGTTTTTGAGTGGGTTTAACAGAGATTGCCTATTAAATCTTATTCAAGTCTCCTTATCTCACTACTTAACGTTCCCCAATATCTCTGAGAACAAAAAAAAAACACTTCGCTTTAACGATACGTTGATAAAAAATGACTTACATTTTGTGAATCATGACAGATTTCTGAGTACGTTTTCGAGGTTGGAGGGAAAGAAAACTGTCTTAGCGGCGACACCATGAAAGTGGCGATGTTTGTAAATGTTCATGATGCTTTGCGCTAATTATAATTTGATTTAAGATATATCAAGAACTTGAGGGAATTATGAACTTTAAAGCAATTTCGAGGGAAGTCATGAGTAAATTACCGTTTTAAATGAAACATTTAGATTTAGCGAATCGCTACTGATAAGTTCCGTGCTACCGTCGATGGCAACGACGTCAATGATTACGTAAGCGAAAACATGGACTGGATTTCGGATTTCCGGAGCAAAATGGAAATAGGACTTGATAGATTTTCTCGATCAGTTTATGGCATAAACGTTTTACCCAACCGTAGTTCTATTGCTGTCTTTCTAAATTTATATAGAAACATGTTTTCACTTCGCCTTTACATACTAAGAGACTCAGACACTATCTAAATGCCCCACCTAGGTATCGCATTCTACCCTGTCCTCAGGGTCTTGTTCTTCCTAAAAACCGCTGTGCTATAAAGGATATTAATAATAAAGCAATAACGAAGATTCGTTTTGAGGATTATAATAACCATTTTTTCTTTTCTTTTTTTTTAAATTGATGTTCATTTTTTAAATTAATGTTCATCACTTAAAGAACTCGACTTTTTCATTTTACATAATTCAATTAACCGTCTGGAACAAGCGATTACCCAGCAAAATTAACTTTCGAGGTGTTTGAGGATTAAATATGAAGCAAGGTAATATGATTTTTATTCAAGCTAACTGTCCGTAGTTATATTCTAATCAAATCGATTAGCCCCAAACATGCATATCAAGCCCGCATTAGCATTGTAAAAAATTGAAAGTTGAAAACCGCGAAGCGAGAAAAGCTTGAAAATTTAACGAAAAATTTATTCCAAACGCAATTTAAAAAAAAGTTATTCAATATATAGTTATTACAGTTAGATAAAAGTAAAACTGTTTATAGTTTCGACGGCTTTTCATTAGAAATTAAAGCTTTTACTTATCAAAACATCCTTGTTGCCGCACCAGGTGGCTTTTTGGTTGTTTTCTCTGGTTTCTATGGTAACCATCAATTAAGATAAGTCATAAATAATATAAAGACATTCAGTGGGTCAATAATTGGTGTTCATTTACTCTAACTTCGAGGTCTTGTTAGGGATTTTCTATAGACGCATTTGGCTAAATCTTTTCCGCTCAGTTGTGTTCAGAGCTCCAAAGATATCATCTAAGAAAACCCTTGGAAAAATCAGTTTTCTCATGAAAAGCTTCTCGCTAATATAAGGTAAGTATTGATGGTGGCGGGAGAGGGTATCGGCTAATGATACGAAGACGGCTGGAGTAAAATTTCATGAAAATGCGAATGTCGAACCCTGTGAACAGTAGTTAATTCAAAAGATGAGGAAAGTGATTGGTAAATCTAAAATGTGTTTTTGTACTCAAAGTTTCTTGGACTGAGTAGTTTTCTTCGACGAGAATAGATTCACCTGATTTAGCAGGTGATGGCTGTATTAAAAATATTTTATCAACGTTAATCGCTGTAAGTATGGCGTACTTACGAAATGAAATGAGAATAAATGAGGCAGACCTGTGGTGGTTATTAAGAAGATATAACTAGCTAAAAACAAGTGTGGTGGTTATTGAAAATTAATGTGTTTTGACCAATTGATTGGAAGTAGAAGTAGAAAAAGAAGAAAGTGGAACATAAGAACGTTGGGAAAAGGAAAAGAAGAAGAAGGAGAAGGAGAAGGAGAAGAAGAAGAAGAAGAAGAAAAAGAAAAAGAAAAAGAAGAAGAAAAAGAAGAGCAAGAGGAAATGTTTTCGAATTCGATGTAACCAAAAAGTACTGTACGGGGAAATATCTGACATATGCTTCGCCATTCATCATCATGACAATGTTAGTAATTAATTTTCTGTTCTTCAGCAAGACCCGAAAGGGTATCGGGACCTCAATGCAATCATCGTTTTTGAACCCGCTTGTCTCTCGTAGTAGATGAACAAATAGATGATTGTGATCTTTAGTAATAAGTAGAAAGATAGCAGTGTGTCGTGCCGAGAAACAAAACAGATGCTCTAGCCATAAATTCAACTTTTTGCTTTGCGCTAAATTTTACTTCAATCTGTCTTCCGTACGACCTCAGTCTTTTATTACACCCCACAAGCGTTAACCATTAGTGGGTAATACTTCCTCATTTAAGAACAATACTCGTAATTGCCTTGAGAATTAGATTATTTGCTATTGTCATCTATATCAATATATTTCGAATATATTATGACTATATTGGACTAAACTACGAAGTACTCGAGTACGTACTCAAGGAAATGGTGCGTGCTGAGAAAAAGTGATCAGTCAATATGCTATTATCGGGGAATTTCTCCTTTTTCTTCATTAAAGTGGCACTTAGACGAAAATCGTTCAAAATTTGAAACTCATTTCAAGATTCCCCACTTAATGATCTGATAATAGATAATAAGGCTAACTCAACTACATATTTACGTTTTTAGCGCCTTTCAACCGATAAAAGTAGGTTTTAAAAGCAAAAAATATCCTGGTCCGGCGCCGTTTATACTGTTATTCTATACTTTCACATCCCCATAATGACTTGCACCTTGGGGGTAACCAATCAAAAACTGTCCCAAATTGAAAGGTTTCTTAATTGAATTTATATCATACCTTCTTTTATCTGTACAATACTGATTATCAGTTTATTCCAAGTTATTTTTGCGTGTACAGATCATCAAGAATTTTGGTCTTACAGAAAATGTATGGACTTACGAAAAAATGTTTAAAATTTACCTTAAACGTCTTCAAGCTTCTATCTTTTTCTGGTTTTTACTTCTTCATTTTATTTTTGGATGCCAAACTAGGTATTGTCAACATTGTCTGATCAGCCTCAGAGGTTTTTACCCTCTGGTTACCCCCCAAAGACGCAAAGTATTATGGGGATGTGAAAGTAGAGAATTGTCTCACGGCTAAAGAGTTTAAAGTCAGTGGTCTTACCTTGTAATGTCATTTACTCAACCAATTCAAGTCAAACTTTGTATTTATGAGTTTTTTTTTCTAGTTGAGTAAATGACCTTATACCTCGCTTGACTAATACACCCCTTGCAGCACTGATACAGCTCAATTTGGAGGACAGAACGATAGGTTTCGATAACGATAATTCTCATGAGATTGAAATTCTTTTGTTTTGTCCTCCAAATTGAGCTGCTTTGACGTCACATGCAATAAGGCAAGGGGTCTATAGTCCGTTTCACAGTTTGCTGCGCCGTCTTGAAAGTTAAATTCAACGCGTGCATCAAAGCGAAAACGACAGTAACCTTGCGATGATAAACACTTTTACAGCAACCTTGGACAATCAATCGCATGAATGTCTCTAGCGCGCGAGACGGAAACTATGAAGTGGACTATTCTTCTCGACCCGAATGCTTCATACCAATATCCTAATGTCGAGCAAAAAAAGTAAAATTCTAACCATTTTTTGGAGTCTTAAATTAAAGATTACTTAAGCAAAGCTTTGGGTAGCTTCAAAATTTAAGCGAATTTTGTTCAAGTAGCACTTTAATTAACTAATAAAACAGCTCAGTCAATATTTTATGCTCCGTTCAGGAATAAAGCACACAGAAAGTAAGTATGAAATAAATAGAGAAAAACGCCCGAATCGTTTGCTTCTCACACTTCTTGAGTGCTATATATTGTACTATATTGTGCTATATATTGTTTTTGACGCAATGGACAACAAAGAATTAACAGCCTTTAAAGGCATTTGACAGTATCGACCACCAGGTTCTTTTGATGAAACTTCGTTCACCTGGAATTTCCACTGTTACCTAGCACTCGAGCACTCATTTAAATGTGTGAAGGGTATAGCTCCACCTTATCTTTCTGATAGGTTTAAATTACGATCTCAGGTACATGATCGTAACACTAGGAATAAGAATATGTTGCAGATACCTAAGTGTCGTACTGCTGTTGGTCAGCGTAGTTTTATACAGTCCTTTGACTAAACGTTGTCGTTGATCGGATCATCCCTACGCGCCTAGACCGAAAAGGATAACGGATAAATTACCCAGAACTTGCATCATCCAAACTGCTCGCCAGCGTTAAATCTTCGCCGTATGCTCGAGGCACGGTTTCAGCAAATTAAATGGGATCGAAAACAGCGAGCTCAAGACGTGTTAGATAACATATGCGGCAGCTAGTAACTGTGAATTATTATCCCTATGATGCTTTTCTGTCTAGGCACGTAGGGATGAAGCCGATCAAACGACAACGTTTAGTCAAAGGACTGTATATAGAGCAGTGACTTTGTGGAATAAGTTGCCAGATTCACTCGAATCTATTAAGTCTTTAAATTGTTTTAAGACATGATATAAGAGTTTCCTTAAATAATTTTCGTATATTCTTTAGGATATTCTATTGGAATTATTACTATCTATATGTTTTTAGAATCTTAATTGTGAATGTAGTATTTTTAGATATTATTCCTGAAAAGCCCTCTGGGAGGTTTAATGAAGTTTATTCTTTCGGCGCCTCTTCAGTGCTTTATACTGAACGGTGGCACGGATTAAACTGTTTTCATTAAAATTAAATGAAAATTTACTATTCAAGGGCGGGAATGACACATGAAAGTTCATTGAATTTTCTCCTTACTCGACTCGAAACTACATTACTTAAAAATTTCAAAATCTAGGATAAAATAATATAAACTTCAGACAATAAATTAGTTGCAACAGCGAAAAAGAAAGCTGTTAAAAAACTCATTAATGAATTTTGTCCCGCAGGTTTGTCACAACATGAACGCGTAAACAATATAATCTTAACTGAGTTCAAGTTCAACGGTACTTGTTTATGGTAATTGGGGAAAATTCGATTATTAATGTGTTTACCAAAACCAAACTTTCTAAAAACTTCCTCTTGAATTACGATGAGTCAGTGGACCGCCTACTTGATTTTTGTCAGTCATTAATAATTTTTCTTTAACATTGAGATGTGTTGAAAAAAAAAAAAAACTCTTAGGCTGCGTTCATAATGTATGGCAGAGGGGGACAGGTGAAATTTAGGGGGGATCGGAAAATTTTTTACCAGTAAAATGGGGGGGCTGGTTTTGAATTTTTTTTTCAGAGAATTGGGGGGGATGCCAAATTTTTAGAAGAAGCTACGAGAGGTTGCCCGGGGGGGGGGGGGGGGGGGGTAGTTATTTTTTTGCTGTAAATCCTATAAGAGAGTGGTACAATTAAAGTTGTTGTTGTTGTTATATGGCAGCGCGCGCGTTATTTCTCAAATATTTGACAAATATAAATAAACAATCAAACATAACAAAAAAATTACAGGAACAAAAACATAAGAACAACAGTTTGAAATAGAAAGACAATAATTAAGGTATTTGAAATATTTTTCTTACTTTCTGTTTTTAGTATCGTTGACGTCACACGTCCAGGAACATGGCTTCTCTCAAATTGTTTCTGATCCTCATTTGGCCCTGTCTCGGTGAGAGCGGACGTCAAAAGCTGTTAATAGGCGGGCTGTTTGGAATCGACACGAGTAGGGGTGGTTGGAACTCGGCAGGGATCATCCCTGCTGTAAAGATGGCAATCGAGGATATTAATAACAGTTCTGATATATTGAAGGATTATGAACTAGAGCTTGTTATTAAAGACGCTAAGGTAAATAACACACTAAAGGCACGAGTACACGGAGTAATTTTCTCTACAACTTGTCTTGCAACGGCGTTACGACACAAGTTGCATGGAGCATTGAAACGTGTAGCCTAAAGCGCAATTTAAAATCTGTTGCGAGACAAGTTGCAGCAAGTTGAAGAATTCGTTTCTACTTTTGGCAACGATTGCGTCTCCGTTGCCGTGTAAATACTCTTGCAACTTGTGTCGCGACGTTGTTGCGAGACAAGTTGCAGAGAAAATTGATCCGTGTAATCGCGCCTTAAGGTCCTTAAGCCAGAAATCAAGGGTGATGAAGCGGTAGTCTATACTCCACTCTCACTTCTGGGTTCTGGGTTCTTGGGCTCAATTCCTAGACTTGGTATCACATGAGAGCGGAGTTCGTCTGGGCGGGCTCTTCTCTTGAATGGGAGGTGGGTGGGATGTTTCTGTAATTTCCCTCCCTCGTCTCTGCAAAACCTAATTCAATCTGTGAATTAGCCGTTCCCTGACTTTGATCAAGAAAAGGCACCTGGGGAGAGCTAACTCTATGCAAGTCAGGCCGCATCTAAACGTCAGCTCTCTCGAAGACCATTTCATCTAGACCTTTACTTGACTTTTTCCGTGATTTCTTCGTATATTTTAAGTGCAATATTGGCGAGTCCGTCAAGGCGTTAGTTGAATACATATCGATAGTAGATCCCAAGATCATGCTGTTGGGTCCCGGGTGTTCGAAGGCTACCATGCCTGTTGCTGAGGCTGCACACTACTGGAATATTATACAGGTATGTAGCACTTTTCCAGGAGTTCTTCAAAAACGTTTGTAGAGAATGTTTAGATCTTTGATGACGACATGGACACCATGTTGGCAGACGTTTCAAAATAATATGTTCGTTGTTTTATTGATTGCTTTCTTTCTTTCAACGATGATTTAACAGATCAAAAACAGCTTTCCGTGTTTGATACTCTGATCAAAACACGCGGGATGTTGGGAGAACACGAGAGGAGCGTAGGAAACCATTACGCGTAGCGGAGTGGTTTCCAGCTTCTCGAGTGTTCT